CAGCACCCTGCATTTCAAAATTGCAGCAGGGGTACTTTAAAGCACATTGAATAAGCTTTAGGTAAAGTACGTCTGCTGTCATTTTGAAATGCAGGATGCTGAATACATGAGATGCTGTGGGCATTTTAATTAGAGCAGCTCCTGAGAGCCAGTCTAATTAAAATGCCCCTTCCACACCCGCACCCCAGAGCACATGTATAGAGGCCCCTAGTGACTTTTTGGATCCGATCCCAACTGTACCAGTCTAGACAAACACTATCCCATCTCTTTATAAAGGTCTTATTAGTGTGATGCAGTCTTGTAGTTATTAATCTTCATTTTTACTGATCTTACAAGTCTAAAAATTGTTCCATGTCTGTAAATTACTTATAAACTGGATCATAAAGTGTGTGCTACAGGTTATACACATAGTTGATTGTCTGGGCAATTAATGTGCATCATAGTTATTGTTTATCTTCCAGTCTCCAGGATAGGATCCTATCATGCCTTTTAAAATGTATGCTGTTAAAGACTTGACTATTTGGAGATGGCTGTTTTGTTTTTTTTAAATAAAAGGAAGTAACAGGCCATTTGAGAAATCTAATGTGAAAGAGAAATAGAAGCAAGTGATTACATTATCTAGATGACCATCTCTGCATCTGGAGAGAGAGGCCAGTACCCAGATTAAACCAAACAAAAATCCACAGTCGACTTCATAAAGGCATCCTGATGATAACTCTCTCCTAAAAGACAAGATATCTTTATCAGAACTCTGCTAATGTGGGTGGAGGGGATTCATTTAAAAAAATGTATTCAATATGATACGTACCTTTGCATTGCTCAGCAACTCAAGAAGAAATAGTCTCAGGTGACATCCAGAGGGTCTATCGAAATGGAGAACCTCAAAGTAAAATTCTAGTTTTGCTCCTCAGAGTATGAATAGATAAAGCAGTAACGTTGTGGAATACAAACCTGAGCAGCTAGAGCAGTTGAAAACCCTGTGATCTGGTTTTCAAGGCCTCACTCAGTAAGGTCTCTGTGATAGAGAATGCTCTCCCTGGGTGCATCTACATGTGCTATTAGTGTGGAACAAAAAACTCTAGCACAATAGCTCCCGGGCGCTGCATTTGAATGTGCACCCAGGACCACAGCACATTGAGTCAGGCTGCCCCAAATAGCAGGGGCCCCAGGGGAGGCCCCTTGCCAGCAGGCAGCCCTCACACTGAAGTGCCCTTGTGCTCCAGCCAGCCCCATCACCATTTATACATATGTTGTTGTGCACTAAAGAACTCCACTGTAGGATAGTATTTGTACTTACCTGCAGCCGAGTTGATTATTTTCCTGCGGCCTGTGAAGACTTTGAGACTTTTACTGTGGAGCTAATTAGGCAGCTCCGCAGTAAATGTCTTGTGTAGATGAGCCCCCCTGACAGCAAAACAAGCCGCTCCGTGTTGCCCGTAGACAGAGTGAGGCGCTTTGAGATTAGGCTTGGTTCTGAGCAGGGACTGTTGTTGCAGGAGTGAAAAGTGAGGCAGTCTGCTCACCTTCTTGCTTTGTTTCAATGAAAGGGAAACATCCATAGAGGTAGCTGTTGGATCTTCTGAGGTCCAAAAAGTTAAATGCCTTCTTAATTAACAGCTATTACTTTAAGTGACATAAGACAATAACAACCAGAAAAATAATGCAACAACAGAAACAAATCGCATTAACCTAATAAATGGTTCCTTATTTGTAAGCTACAATCAGCCCACCCCTTCCTGTTTCTAATGTAATTTCAGCTTTTGAACTCTGCACTACAGAGTGTTCTAGGCCTTAAAAATGCAGGATAGTCACCATAGTTCTTAAAGCTCTATATATCACAGTTGCAAATGTTTTCTTACCTATACAGAGCCCTTCAGAGTTTTGTCCCAGCAAAAGTGTCAGCTTAAACTGGTGATTGCTTTCCCTGTTAGTGATAGGATAAACTGGTCTGTACATAGTACATACTACCCAATTACTTGTATGCTGCATTAGTAGTATCTTGGACAGCCTAGAATGCTATAGCATTGTTGAAAAGGTTGCAAATTTCTATCCTGCTGCCGTCGGTTAGTACATAATGATAACTGTCAAAAAGTGCATATACATGCAGTTGCAATGAAATCATTTCCCTTGCAATAATTTCAATTTGGGTGGTTGATTGTTTTTTAATGTTAAGCTTTAAAGGAAAAAAAAAAGAGACATTAGACCAGTGCTTCCCAACCCAATCTTTTCCTCAGCATAACCCTATATAAACATTGGACATTTTTCTGCGACCCCAAAATGATGCAGACAAAAACAATGCCCCCTCCCCCCACACGCAGCATAGCCAGAGCAGAGCCTTGGGGGGTGGGGGGGGGAACCAAAGTGCCCACAATGGGCTTGGAGCTCCCCACCCTGCTACCCTCCCTCTGGGGGCCTCCATGGCCCAGCAGACAGGAGGGCAGTGGGGTGGGGAGGCCTGAGCCTGCAGCAGGCAACCTGCATCTGCCCCTGCACTGCGTGCCAATCTGGGGGGCATGTGCCCCCCCCCCCATGCCTCCCTCCCTAGGGGTGCACACAGCGGTAGGGAGCCAGCCCCACCACCCCCCTGGTCCCTGGATGAGCTGCTCGTGGCTCCATCCTGCTCTTCCAGCGCCCCCCCCAGCCCTTCCCCACTCCCTCCCTCCCTTGCTCCCTCACCATGTGGGCCTCAATCTGCCCACCCCACCACATAGACTTACCTAGAGGGAGCTGTTCTCCATGCTGCCTGGCTGCCCCATGCATGTGTGTGCATGCACATGCACATGCACGTGGCGTCACCTGCCTGATCGCCCTCCTCCCACTCCCTCCCTCCCCAAGCATCCCCTTCCAGGCTAGAACTCTGCCAGCCTGAAAGGGGAACCTGCTGTTTCCCACTTTTTTCTGTGATTTTCATCATAATCGGTCAACAATGTTGTGTCTTTGCAATCCCAGTTTTTAGTGTTGCGACCCCAAATGGGAGAAGGTTGGGAAACGCTCCATTAGACTGTTCTCAAAACAAGTATTTTACACAGTGTTAACAGTTCTTATGATCCCTTGTGAATTTTATGAAATTCTCAGGTTCCAGAGCCATGAGAATATGCAGAAATCTCTGCTTTTATTAGAAAAAATTTTTTTTTTTTACTCTCAGAATTGTGGAGAAAAGATAGAAAGCCTAGCCTCTAAGGAACCAAAACATCAAAGGCAAATAAAAAGAACTAAAAAATGTATTATTTTAAAATTAATTTCCAGATTTTAAGTCAGCTTCAGTTTATTGAGGCCTGACTCAGGATTGTTGAATGGTTGCATTATCAGTACTGATTTTGCCCTTAAAAATAAATTACCTTTTCAATACTATTAGAAAACACTACCTTACGAGTAATTTATGTCATCCACTAGTTACCCTTAACTGAGAACAAATTTTTCCATTATATTCAGTTACCTGAGTCTAGGTACCTACACATGGTATGACGAAAATATTGAAAATCTTCAGTTTTTAATGTGTTATAGCCTGTTGTTATCTGAAAATAGATTGTATCTGACAAGTCATTTCTGTGATTATATTACTACAGCTTTCTGTAGGTTTTTCCGCTCAGCATGCACCTCAAATTTGTTCTATCCATGCCTTGATGAGCATCATCTTGATAAACAGGATTGGATTAGATTGGGTTCCCAATGTGGGAAGTAAAAGAGCATGTTTCATAGTCAATATCTAGTCTTTAGAACTTCTTAAACTGGAGTCTTTTTCTTTCTCAGTGACTTAGATGATGACATGTACGAGTGTCAAAATAATGGCAGAGGATAAAAGAACTAAATCTACAAGTGTAGCTAGCCTTTTAAAGCCATTTTGCCAATGCAAGGCAGGCCACACATTTATAGGAGTAGAATCATCTGGTCCATCCCACTGCAGGGATCAGGGTGTGTTCAGGGATGAATTAAGGCATAGCCAAATGAGGCACATACCTAGGGTCTTAAGTGAAGAAGGGGCCCAGTTGTGCTTATTTTACATATTATAATTATTAAGTGAAAAAGTAATATAAATATACAGTATTAAATAGGGGCCCACAAGTTTGTTTGCCTAGGAGCCACTAAAGGGTTAATCCAGCCCTGGGTGTGTTATTTCCAAACTGTCCTAGCCATATGCATATCAAGCCTTTTCTTGGAAACCTCCAATGAAGGAAGGAGGTTCAACAACTTCCCTATGCAACTCGTTCCTTTGTCTTGCTATTCTTATGACTAGGAAGTTTAAAAATTATTATTATTATTAATATTATTATTATTTAAATCTGCTTTGTTGTAATTTAAACCCATTGCTTATGTTTTGCCCTTTGTGGCAAGGACTAAACACCTATTTTACCTCTTCAGCGGCATGTGAAATGCGTTAGCGTCTTTAGGACTGTTCAGTTGCTTGAGTGAAATAAATCAGTATTCTCAGTGGTGTTCACATCACAGAATTGTCCCTGCCATGTCTCTCTTCATACCACTAACCTAAGCAGGTCAAATCAGAATAGCAGAGACTGGTCTAGTTAGTAAAGATTTTGGAGGAAATGAAATGTAATTAAATAAGAGACCTTCATTCCCTGTCATTTAGTGTCTTACAGATATCTTTGGTGGTTGGTAATATGATAACATTATTTTTAGATTTAAAGCTTTCTTGTGCTGAAATAATTTTTAAAAATGCGTAGGTGTGGGGTAGTTGCACTACTCTGTATGGATGAATAAAAATACATTATGGCTTTTTTCAGGAAAAAAGTTTGTAAACTGTTAGCTCAATCTATCTAATCTATATAATCATTCCATTTCTCTTGAAAATCATAAGAATAATAGTTTGTTCATATCACTTTCAAAACTAGCCTGTATTTCAGTGCAATGTGTGATGTAAAATGTGTTGTATGTATATAGATGTGCTATGTTTATATTCAAGGTATGAAACATAGTTGCATATATCTATGTGAAATCTAGATATGAGAAATCCGTCACTAATGAAGTATTGCTGCTTTTTGCAGGGTGACCAGACGGCATTGCATCGGGCGGCTGTTGTAGGGAACACAGATGTAATAGCAACTCTTATTCAAGAGGGGAGCTCTTTGGACAGACAAGACAAGGTAATGAGCAAAAGTAGAGACCTGTTAGCTAGACTAGCATATTAGCATTAAATAAAGAATTTTTTTGTAGAAGTTATCTGTTATAGTCTGGAGTAAATATTCAGAGTTTTGAATTTAATAGGAATTATCAGTTTAAAAGAATAATAAAAGCTGTTTGAAAATTTCTTTCTCTTTTAATAATACTTGACACAAATTGATTGTCTTTGACACAAATTGATTGTCTCTCCTTGGGATTATGGTCAGAGTCCAGAGGCATCAAAAGAAACATATAGGGGGTGAGGCAGGTATGGAAGCAATGCATTTTGGGTGCCTGTGTGCAGAGAGGCTGCTCCTCCATGCTGTAATTACAGCGCATCAGAGCAGACTTGATTAATCAAGTTTGCTGAAGCGTGGTAGTGTCTCCAGTGTCACAAGTATCAGCGTCCCTGTGCTGATAAATGGTAGTGGGGGTGTTTTAACTAAAGCTCATCAAACGAGCTTTAGTTAAAGCACCCCAGCTGCCATTTTCAGTCCGGAGGCACTGATACACGTGATGCTCTGGGTACTTTAATTAGAGTGGCTCATGCCCTTTGATGCTGAGAACTCAATACCATGGAGGCTGAGTAGTGTAGTTTTTTCTTATAAGCAAGGATGTGAACGTGAATGGCTATGAAGAAACCACTCCAGGGAGTAGAAAAGACAACATTATCTAGATAGAATCATTTCATTCTCGCTGGCAACTCTGTACAATTTACTTGAAGTATGAAATGCTGCTGCATACTAGGTAACACATACCTTGTGAAATGAAGCCAATGAAGAGTGATATATGTGTTGCTTGACAACATAATATACCACTACCTGATTGGACTGATCTCTAGTGTATTTTTTGGGGTTGATGAGCTAGATTGCTAGAACATCAAAGTAAACAATGCTCCATGTGCACTAATACGAGACAAAGTCTATCTTGGTTCTCCAAGATGAAATTTAGAGCGGGGATTCTCAATCCCTGGTTGGCTTCCGAAACAGAAGTGGCTGCAGACTGGCAAACCACAGTGCCCCAGAGCCGGGCGGAGAGGCCGTGGCTCTTTCTACAGGGCCTGTGCCAGTGCAGGGTTTGGCCCATGGGGGTGGGGGTATCCTTACCTGTCTTCCGGCTGGAAATTCCAGCCGCGGTCGGCTGGGTGGCGGTTTGCTGGGCGGTGGCATAAGAGCTTTGGGAATCCCTGCTTTAGAGTGTAGACAAAGCATGAGTAGTAGGTCTGTACATAAAAACTCTTATCCTTTAGATATTTGAATTCATAGTTTAGCTAAGACTGATAATAAAAGCAAATCTCTACCAGCTGAAATGCACATCCACCCTAGTTTCCCCTGCCTTGCTCAGAAACTAAAAGTTCTTGGCTGTAAATTAATATAGAAATAAATAAAACCAACCCAGAACTATAAGCATCGCTTTCAGTGATGCCTTCCCCACCTATGTGATTTTTTGGAAGATGCAAGAAAAGTAATTTTGGGCCTTTACTACTCTCTAGTGTGATGGTTGAGTACTTTTCACTCGGCGGGCCTATTGCTTGCTGTCATTCTCATGGCATAAATGTATGCAGCTTGCTGAGAATTGACTGCATTTCATAGCTACATACACTATAAAAACTGATGCCATGGTCATATAAATATCACGGACATCAGTTTTAAATCACCGTATGGAACTCCACATAGAAGCCTTATGTCCTTTTGTTTTAAAGTTTCTGGCATTTCAGCTAAAGGACAATTCTTGATGGGCTGCCACTACTTCTAAGGCTTATTATCTGTCTGGCACAGCCTCTAGGGGACCATACAGTCACAAATGTCTGAACAGGTTTATTCTAACCAACAAAAAGCAATGGAGCACATACCAAATGCACAGGTCAGTAATATGTTATCTTTGGTTAGGAACTGAGAGGATGGTAACATAGAAGAGTGGACACCTGAAGGAAAATAAATGCCTATAGAAGGTTTTTTAAGCCTAAGTCTGATGTACTTGTGCTTTTCCGCAGACAAAATTTGATGAGAAGGAAAAGAGATTTGTTTTAATGTCCAAATAGGTGCACAGCACTGAATCTCTGGATGTGACTTTCCTCTGTATGGAGATGCTGCATTTTAAACTATTGGTCTTGTGATTCTGCCCTTCAGGATGGCAATACAGCTCTTCATGAAGCATCTTGGCATGGATTCAGTCAGTCTGCCAAACTGCTTGTTAAAGCAGGAGCTAATGTTCTTGCCAGAAACAAGGTGAGACACATGCTGAATGTGCTTTCAGTTCCGATATGAAATGGCTGTTCCTCATCACTGTTGATTTTTGATAGTGACACATCTCAACAGGCAGTAGTCCAGTTCCTAGTGAGATTTCTCATTTCATTTGAATTAATTATGCCTGAATGGTTCTACAATAGACAATAGAAAATTCATATTTTGACAGCTGACACAGGAGAAGCTCAGTAATACTTTGAATGATACATTAATTATGACTGAAGAATAATGGGATTCCTATGGAAACCTCAACGGAGCCCTAATTTATATTGAATGGATTCACTGTGCTTGTGATTAAATTGAATATTAATTGAACTAATGGGAAAATAGCATTAAGAATCTAACTTAGCAGAAATTAGGCAGCTGAATCTATATGCAAACCATGTAGAAAAGAAAACAATATCTGTAAATGTCTCTCTTCTCATATTGTATCTGGTGAACTGTTTAGAAAGGAGAATTAACAAAGCAAGGGGTCTTATCTCCCATCAGAACTGCAGACAGGATATTTTACAGCACAACAAGAAGTTAGGAAGTGAGGGCTGTAAAACTATTATAAATCAGTGCAATGAAACCATGAAATAAAGTTTTTTATTAAGATTAAAATAAACTACTTTATTAAGATCAAAATAAAGTACCTACTGGAGGCTAGTCTTCAAATTGCCTAATCAAAAAGGTTAATGAAATAATTTCAAAAGCAGCAAAGGGCAACAAACAGTATGTGCTAGAATAGGGTTTGGAATTTTTCAGCTGAGCATTCACAGTGTATGGATATCGCTATCTCCTTTGTTAAAGGCAATAGGAATTCAGGGGCATAAGGCGTTTGATTTTATCTTTGAACATACTTAAAGGAAAACTGTGTAACATTTCATTAAAGAAAACTATAAAAATATTAAACAAGCAGACAGTTTAGAAGAGCTGCAATCTGTAAAGCTAAATCATACTATGAAAACAAAGGAAAAGAGGAAAGAAATTAGAAGAAAGGAAACACCTACTAACGTAAGACAGGCATAGCCCCATATTGTGTCACAGTTATTTGTGGTTACTTTTGTAATCGCAAGTTTCTGATGATGCTGTTTCAATTGACTGTTGCAGCCTTTCTGTTATATTCGGTCCCCAGTTTAATTTTCAGTTTCTAAAGTTTAATTATTGTGCTATCATAATATTTATGTTTATTCATATTAGACATTTCTTTAGATAACTCCCATAATGATGCATATTATTAGAGAATAGCAGCGTCTCACTTCCTCATTTCATGAATCTTTATACAATACGTGTATAATTTTTATGGTCCTGTTTAAAATATGACTTGCTGTTCTATGTGCTTGGGTACTACGGAGCAATAGAAGATGTTAACATCTTAGGAGCTATAAATACTGGATAAACTGCCAATCATTTTGAGACAGCCCTTTATAAAAGTGTGTGAATACAACAGAGTGGCAAAGCCAAGCTGTTGTGGCAGTCCAGATTTCCTCATATTGGCCGGTACCTGCTTCTGCTGTGTCCTGAAGGAGATAACACTATGACAGAGTGGGAATATAGTTCATAACTTTGACTTTTTGCTGAGGAAACCAACTGGCAGATTGTTTTAATGATGTGGATATTTGTCCAATAGGAGCTGCTGAGAGAGTGCAAATTCATTTTTCATAGGCAAATTTTCTCCAAGTATAAAAGCCTAGCATGAAAGAAGACACACAGATTATTGAAACGTGACACTTTTTTTAGGATTTATGTCAATTTTCTAAAGATGGCTTTTTTATCTTTCTGTACCTTTCCGAAGGCAGGTAACACACCTCTGCACTTGGCTTGCCAGAATAGTCATTCTCAAAGCACTCGTGTTCTGTTACTTGGAGGATCTCGGGCAGATCTCAAGAATAATGTGAGTTTCAAACTAATGGGGGGTATTTATTATTATTTTGCTCCAGCTTCTGGAACTAAAACTTGGAAAAATACTACACTGTGAGTTTTTTATTAGCAATGCTCCTGCACTGCCACAGACCCCACTTGCCCCCCTCCCCCCTCCCCCTCCATCCTGCCTCACCTTAGATTGGGTGGCCATTTTTAACCAGATCTAACCCCTCATACTCTTCCTGAATGGTCTGTACATACTGTTAGGGTTATATCGGTACTGCTATATACTGCTTTGTTCTGCCATGTATACTGGATATGTTGTGCTGTATAGTTCTGGTTTCAGTAGAAGTGTCATGGTTTTTCAATACAGACCAACCTAACATAACAATTTTATCTAGGAAACTGGTATTGAAATAGAAAGGGGTATGTCATAAAATTGTAGGGTTGGAAGACACCTTAGAGGTTATGTGCCCCCTGATATATATAAAACTCCTGGAACAGACTGCCTTTTGACCTGTTCCATCATTTGTGCCCTTCGCCTTCCCCAGCTAACTTTCTTTTAAGCACTATGTGAAACAAAATGGTTCTTCCTGTTGTTGTTTGTTTCAGTAGAGGACACTTGCTTGAGATGTGTTGAAGGACCAAGACAGTTATAACCTTTTCCAAATTTAGAGTCCTGGCTATACATAAGTGTATGGCCTGATCCTTAGTTGGTGTCAACTGTTAGCTGTTTTGAGGCCAATGGCCTCCTGAGGACCTAGTTCACAGCCTCCTTGAGGTATATGTCTTGCACCCACCTACAAGACAACCATCCACTCTACAGTACTAGAGACAATCATTTGATTTCGCCGGCAATATATATAATTTCAGAGGAAAAAATATGTATGGGTCTCTGTAGGCAATAATGCAGCAAAGACCCATGTCGTTCACCACATCTCCAGCTCAGTATTAAATAGCTTTATTATTTCATCCCCAAAACACAAGCTTTTCTATTATGATGACATGCTTAGAGCTTTGTTTCTGTTTGCAGGCAGGAGATACCTGTTTGCACGTTGCTGCTCGTTATAATCACTTGCCCATCATTAGGGTACTCCTCAGTGCTTTCTGTTCTGTACATGAAAAGAACCAGGTCAGTGCATGAATCTCACCACAGTTATACACCCTTTTTATAAGGCTAATAATTGGAACAAAGAACCTTGACTTGGTTGGGCCTGTTGGAGTAGTCTCTAATTAATACACATTTTATGGTGATATTAAGAAGCCTGGGCTTCCAAAAATAGCCTTAAAGGAAAGGTGTGTCTGTGACATATTATCATTTCAGGGCATGTCTTTGCATTTACATTTCTTATTTATAACATTTTGTAGTTATTATATTTTATGCAAATAAGGTTTTTGTTTAAGAAATGGGAAATAGAGGTTGGAGCAGGGATTAGGAGTCAGGACCTCTGGGCTTTAGTCCCCCATTCTGCTGCTAATTTAGTATATGGTGACACCGGGCAAGATACTTTACCTCATTATGTATCACTTTGCACATCCGTAGAAGAGGGTTAATGCCATTACCTCCTTTGCAGAGGTATGGAAACAGAGCTCATTTTGAAGGTGCTTAATGTACTGTATACATGAAGAGTTTTTATTAACGTTTGTGTTTTATTTTTTGTCCTGGTGCTTATGTGAAGCAAAAATTGAAGGGAAAACTTGTTTTAAGTACAAAGTAATGATCAGTCTAAACTAGGATTAACCATCCAGACTTGTAGAATGCAAACAAACAATTGAATGCTGTCTCTACAGCACAACCTGATAGGGTGGTATAACAGAATGGATTAGCACATTAAAATGGACTAAAGCTGCTAAGAAAAGCAAAATTATATGGTACTTTACCAAATCATCTCATGTTACTAAATAACTTTCTGTATAGGGTACAGTATCCCATGGATGTTTTCTAATTTGTATGTTTAATCTTGTTTTCCAGATAGGGAGTATTACAACTAATGGAATAGGTTTAAACCAAATTAAGTTCACTATGTCACTTAATTTTAGGAAATGAATCAAGTTGCTTATAAAAATGAGCTACTGAATGATATTACCTAGAATTAGGATAGTGTAAACTGATACTGTTTCCTCTCTACCCTGAAGTATTATCCACGAAGGCCAAACATGCTTCTCTCTTAAACTGATTCTGGCAAGTGTTAGCTGAGGCTGAGCATGGTCAAAGTTATTTTCACTTGCACTTCAGGTTCCTGGCCAGAGATGAAGGGCAGTAGTGCAGTGCTTTGACCTTACATTGCATAGCTTCTTATGTAGCTGTGTTCCCAGAATCATGTTTTCCTTAAGGAACATCACTGTACCAAGATCAAGCAGTGTTTTGCTGCTATATGATTATTTTCCAGGACATATCTTATACAGAGGTCTTAAGAAGTGGCTCATTTGTTTGTAACCATCACCTCACCAAAGTTCAAACCACCAAATCTACACAACTGGAAAAGAAATAGGGATATGTTGCAAGGCCCAGTTCTGCCCTCTAAGACATTCTAGGTCCTGCAACTGGAGGCAGAATTGATCCATTTGCTTTCTCATTTCCAAAACAATGTTCCTTCGTGCACAGTCATACAGATCACTTATTTTATCTGTAACATATGTAACCACAGCTCTAACTACCTTCTCAAAGCAGTGTGAGTTAGTCCACCCTTTAAAGCTTGCCTATTTTTGACCAACCCTAATTAGATTTTAGCAATCTTGTAACTAAATGTGGACATAATAAATGGGCATAAGAAACTGAAAATACAGTATGATAGAAAACAGAGATATCTATTAGCATTTTGTATGTCGCTTTGTAAATTTCAGGCTGGAGATACTGCACTACATGTAGCTGCTGCACTAAATCATAAAAAGGTGGTTAAACTCTTACTGGAAGCAGGAGCTGATGCGTCCATTGTCAACAGTGTAAGTAGAATGTAGAATTCCTTTGGGCTCTTATTTTAATGTTTCAGAGAGAACTTCCTGCAGATTTTGAAAGTCTCAGCTGACAATATGTGGATGTTAGTTCCTGAATAAATCAAGATGCTTGGTTATATGACACGTGCACACAGACTGTTTAACAACTTCATTTTAAATCTTTCATGATTTATTAGCTTGATGCTGACTGAAAGAAATAATTTATTTCTTGTCCTTTCAGGCAGGTCAGACACCTCTAGAGGTTGCCAGACAGCACAATAATCCAGAGGTTGCTCTTCTCCTCACTAAAGCATCTCAGGTACATTTTAACTGTCTTTTTCTTTCTCTTTTTGAGCACTAACCCCAAGGTATCAGCTGACAGGAACATTCTGGGATATCTTCTGGGCCACATGCCTGGAACTGAAGCTGGATTCTAGGCAATGGGCTCAATCTGCTTAAATCCAACATTTAAATGAAGCTGAGGCCCCTGACACATATTACTTTTAAGATATGATTAACAAGTTAATCTCACGTTAAATAGTAACTGGCTACATGCACAGCTCAGTTTAAGGTGTACTAATGCAGTAAATGAGCCACAAAATTATTCCGCATGTAATGTGGAATATATAACGTGGGGTGTCCATGCTACTCAAATGAGAGTACAGCCTAGGATGTATGTCCCCTGACTCAAACCTCCTGTTTTCTAGATGCTTCACTGTACACACTCATATAACATGGAATAACTTTGTGGCTCATTTGTACCATGTCTTAAATTGAACGTGTGGCTGGGACTGCTCAAAACTACGCTCCCCAGATTGGTGGTTCATGGGGTTTTGACAGGTTCCAGTGTATGGAGAGCCTGGCATCAGGCTGCTGCAGCCCAATGCTGGGCCCTCCATGCACTGGGAGCTGTATAACCCTGTGTTCCACTCATTTGGGTGGACATATGGTTTTATAGCTCCTGGTGCACAGGGAACCCAGCATTTGGCTGTTGTGACCTAATGCTGGGCTTCTTGTATGGCGAGCTGACTGTCAGCTAGGACTGAGGACCAATTTGGTTTTTGGCCCCAGTGACAATCAGCTGATTGGTGTCATTTTGCTGATGCAGGGGGAACCTGGGCATCCCCCTGCACCTGCAAGTAAGGCACTATTGGGATCTGATCCCCAATCCCAGAATCACACATCCTCCCCTGCACATGTGTTAAGACAAATGTCTCTCAGGGGCTTGAGTTCCTCAAAACATTGGGTCAGCTGCCACCTAAGTCTGGAGGTTGTTAAATTCCATAAGTGCCTAGGTTTCCACCCTAAGATTGCCTACATTTCTGCTGCTTGACCTATGCACTGCCACACCTATCCTGATGGTATTACTGAGTGAGCCCTAGCAGGATTCACACCCCAGGCATTTCCCTGCCGCTGTTTGTTGGACTTGATCTGGGAGATGTTCTCAGAGTTCACCCACTAGGTTGGGTTTCACAACACCAGTGGTGGTGGCAGCAGCAGCACTGACTGCATAGCCAGTATTCCAGTGATTAGAGCATGCTCCTGGGAATCCATGTTCACATCCCTCCTCTGCCTGATTTGGAGCAGGGATCTTAACCAGATCTTCCACCTCCAAGAAGTGTGCCCAAACCGTTATGGAGTAGTCTGAGGTGTGTGGCTCTCAACCTCTCCTGTTGAAACTGTTTCACTCTGTGTAAAATTGGGTCAGACCATGAAAATGATTCCATAGCTTGATGATTAATACAGTCACTAGGAGACCTCCTGTCCCTCTACCTCTTCCTTACTGAGTTTTGAGCAAGTAAAAACTGACTCAGTTAAGGCACTTAGCTCTAGGGTATGGTTTGTAGTGATGAGTGGAGAGAGATGTGCAACTTCCTGAGGGGGATTATGATATGGCCTTCTCCCTCTCTGGTATGTTCTGCTGGGTAATTTGGAAAGCTTCTTGCTCAAAATGATGGCGTTTTTGGATCCCATTCTTAGGCACCTGTCTCCATGCATTACATAGGGACCCTGTATACCCAACCTGGAACTGAGGAGTTTACTGGATAGCAAAGTACTGACGTTAAGCAGAAGGCAGGGCACAGTTGCACTTTATAGATTAACTAATTGAGAGGTGCATAAGCTTTCATGAGCAATAGCTTATATAGCAACAGAAGCTATGGAAGGACTAAAACAATTTAAAAACTGACTTGAAATTACAGAACAAGAAATCATCCATAGACTGGACTGTGTTAAGCATGGCCTAAACAGAGACTATGTATTCTTATCCCATTAGCTGAATAAACCTTTTATAACCCCTGTATCCCGATGGATTCATTGCTTTGTTTTTTTCTTCAACACGCCTTTGTCTCTCTCAGGAGTGCCCCCTGCCCTTCCCTCCCTTTTTTCCTATCCTTTGTTTTTAAATCACTGTATTTGAATGCCTACTCCCTACAGGTTCTTTTATAGCATCTGATTAAGCGAGCTATTGGTTATGAAAACTTTCAGTTAATCAACAAGGTGCAACTCTGCCCTGTCTTTTTTCTGACTGCAGGCTAACATGACTATCTACCCCTCTCTACTTAAAGTTAGGTGCTGTGATTTTCAGCATTTCAATTCCTAGTCCCTTCATGGATCTATGCCAGTATTGGTAGATTTCTGCAGTATGAATGCTCCTGTTATGTACTGCTGTGCAAAGTAAATTGAAAAAGATACCCCTTTTGAAAAAGCCAAATAAATAAGCCTGTATTATTACTTAATTTCTGAAATAGAGCATCAGTAGAAAAAGTGGTGGCGTTTATTGATTCAAAATGTTGTCTTGCCTCAGGTCTCACGTTTTAATCGTGGAAGAAGCCTGAGAAAGAGGAGAGAGAGACTGAAGGAGGAAAGGCGAGCTCAGTCTGTACCAAGAGACGAAGTGGTACAGAGCAAGGTACAGCTATGCATTACCAACCAGCTTTATGTGGTTCAAGGCATTGAGTGCAACAGAGTGATTAGAATAAAACCCTCTTGCACTGATTCAGTTGAATCTGCCTGAGCTGTTTCCTGTGCAGCAATACAGACACTTTGAGAGATGCACAGAGTCCTAATTATCGTGAGTTCTGTAAGTGTTCCTAACTTGATGCTTTTTTGGGGATGGCCAAAGGAGGCTGCACAGTGCATCTCACATTGTTGTTGAAGACTCTCTGCCAGTATTTCTGTTATGTGAAAAAATTCAGAACAACTTAAAATTGTGGCTTTAAAGAGACACTAGCCAAAACTACCTCCCTACCCCTGAAACTGCTAAATTCTTTTTCTTTTTTTTTCAATAGGGCAGCGTGTCAGCTGCTGATGACACTCATAGCAGTGACCAGGCACCCCAGAGGAAAGATCTGAAAGATGAACCCCCGTCAGCCTCTCCAGATCCCAGAGGAAAGAACAAAAAGAAGAAACTAAAAGGAAAGGTACTGGTAGATTTAAAGGAGCAGAGACAGGGACTTCTGTTGAGAATCCCATCTCCTTGTTAGTGAGTAGGCATGCCATCTCCCTACCATCTCCAATGCTTGCTGCTCCAAGTGTGAGAGACAGGTATCGAGTAGTCAAGAATCAGTTTCTGAAGGGGAAATCATTCCACTGGAGATGGCGTCAATCATTCCACTGGTGGGATGGGCTGAATTCTGATACTTGCAGTGATAATTATCAAACTGGGAACATGTCAATGCTCCTCAAGTGAGAGTAGAGACTAGGCTGTATGTCTCTGGACACAAACCTCTTGTGCTCTAGACAGTTCATTGTTTGAGCTGTTTTCTGTCAGAACCCATGTAGTAGTTTGTTGGGGATTTTGTAATGGGGGAAATGCATGTTTTTTCTTCAGACTTCAGCACTCTCAGACCCCACTTCACCAGCTGACCAGCAGATGCTCCCTGGTCCTCAACAGAATTTGCCCAAACGGAGAAGTAAACACCGCTGCTCGTCGCCACCACCTCCACATGAGTTCAGAGCCTACCAGCTGTACACACTGTATCGTGGAAAAGATGGGAAAGTAATGCAGGTAAATAAATTGCTGCCATTGAATAAAACAACAAGTGGCAATTGGGATTTGAGCACAGTTAGGAAATGAGGCAGCAACTGTTGATTAATTATAATTTCAAGAATATTAGAGGTATTCATGCTCTAGTTTGTTGCATGAGATTCATCTGTATTTTGACATGAAGAAGTTGGTTGTTGCATGCTAAGGAGGATATGGTTTAAGTGGCTCTAGATAACTGAAGCATTTTTTATATGTAGACAAGGTTTGATGTTTTAGAGACTTGGATCAAGGGTGTTCAACTGGTGGCCCACAGGCTGCATGCAGTTCATAAGGGGCTAACATGCACCCTGTGGGCTTCCACTCAACCACCATTCCCCATGTTGCACCTGTGCCAGTGACTGGGGGCTCCCAGCTTCCGCTTCCTACTCCCACTCCTAGGGGTGGGGCAGGGCAGATGAAGGAGGCCAGTCTGCCTTGTACACACAGCAAAGGAAGGAGCTGGGCTGCCTACATTGAAGGGATGGGGTCAGCTACCCGCATGTGCAGTGGGGAGCTTGCCCGAAGTGAGGTGCATCAACTCATGTACATTCACTTCACTTCAAACACTGCACTTCTGAGCCCTAATAAATATGCAACAGAGATTCCACTCATTCGTTTGAATTAGCATGAGCCATCTAAATGAGAATTGCAAATATTTGCCCAAATCTATTTTTAGAACAGCACAAAGGCATTTGGTAAACTATCAAATAGGTCCCCTATTGGAATATATTGTCCTTCAAATGTAAGGAATGGATTGTAATTTAATTGGGTAGATTTCATCGAACTTCTGTAGTCCTACTGCTGCTTTTACGTGTACTATATCAAGGCACCTTTGGAAGAGAAGCACTTCAGTTTCTGAGATTGGCTCCTTAGAGCTATCCCTAAGGTATTCAGATATATACTTTCATTCCCATAGTCCATTTGTGGAATTATATATACCAGCAGGTTAGAGAAGGAAATTGGCAGACAGTGAAGTGTGTTTATGTTGACCTCAAACTCTCTGTGGCCATGGTTCCCAGAGGTCCCAAGAGATAGAGATAGGATGTATTAGAAAAGTCCAGAGATAAGTATGAAAAATATTGGATATGAATTCAAGAAATAGACCTGAAGCATAATTATTATTATCATTAATGTATTTGTTCCCAGTGGTGCTGAGGAAGTGCTAGGCACAAAAAGTTTATCCATGCATATCTGAGCTAACAACATTTTAGTTTTTTTCCACACAAAATACTCTGCAGACACTTGTTTTCTTCCTCCTGAAGCCCCTGAGAGATTGTCAGGAAAATAACACAGTACCACACCAGATTGGCTGGGTGTGCGGGAAGTTCAGTTAAGAAGGTGTGAAAATTTACTGTGTCAGGGCATGTTAATATGGGCAGAGGGATACAGCAAGGTACTGCTATTCCTTATTCTCCCAGGCTCCGATAAATGGATGTCGTTGTGAGCCCTTGATCAATAAATTGGAGAATCAGCTGGAGGCAACCGTGGAAGAAATAAAAGCTGAGTTTGGGACAGTGCAGGATAATATGAATGCCAAGCTGGGTCAGATGGAGAACAGAACTCAACATCAAGTAAGAAAATGGTCCAGATATCTAATGTCATTATTTCCCCATTAGCACTGGAAACATGATTCAAGCTTTGTGAATGTTTTTAATTTTCATGGTTTGATCTTTTAAAAAAAATTAAAGTGAAACTAGGCAGGCAAGGTTCCTTGGGTAGTTGTGATATCTTTTATTAAACCAACTGAGTAGTTGGAAAAAAAGTTCTTTGCAAGCTTTCGAACACAAGCACCCTTCTTCAGGCACTGGGAGACTCTGCTGTTGTTCTGAGATCTCCAAGGTAGGAAAGAAGCTACAAAAGTGACAGGAGGTCAGTGAAAATATAACTAGGTGGAAGTTTGGAAAACAATGGGTAGAGGAGGGAGGGGAGGGGGGAAAGAGGAGGAAATAATGGGTGAAGGAATGCAAAAGGTAAGCATGGGAGACTGCTATATTATTGAGTTCTCCAAGGTAGAAATGAGGCAGCCTGTGAAAAAGTAAATAGGTGGAAGTTAGGAAAACAATGGGTAGAGAAGGAGGGGAGAGGAGGAAAGGAGGGAAAAATGTGTAAATGGTAAGTTCAAGCAAGTACCTGTTGAATCAGATGTCAGGCAGGTTGTAATGTGCTATAAATTCAATGTCTATATTGAGTCCATAATTTTTTGTATCCAGTAGATTTATGAAGTGAAGTTCGTAGGCTCAGCTATGAAAGGCGTGTTGTAAGTTCCCTTTGAGGCTTAGAACTGAGAAATCAGAGAGGCAGTGGTTGTCTTGTGAGAAGTGACCACCCACAGGTAATTGGATATTTTTGTTTTTGATGGATTTTTGGTGTGCGTTCATTCTGGTGCACAGTTGTTTGATTTCTACTACATATTTTCCATCTGGGCATTTGGCATTTGGATGAGATACAGGTTTCCCTTGCTTTATGCAGTACATGTGTTCCCGGAAAACTGCATGTAACTTGAAGTTGCATAAAGGGAATCCAGTTTATAAGGTAACAAGTAGGGATACGTTCCCATGGTGGTGAAGAAGGGAGGGAGTGAAGTTGGGGCGCGGGACAGGGAGGCGCGGCCATTGTTGCTACGTGCACCTGGGAAGGCTGCGGCCTGGGGAGCACGTGCCCCCAGATCCACTGCGGGCTGGGGCTGGTAGCAGCACTGGGCTCTTCCTGGCGCTCAGGGCAGGTGGTGGCGGTGCTGGAAGGGCAGGTTGGGAGGGGCCACGGTGAATTTTGTGGGGGGCTGCAGCCCCCCTCCCAGTGCCACAGTTGCTCGATCCAAGCTCCGGGAAGAACCCAGTGCCGCCGCCGGCCCCAGCGCGCAACAGCAGCCTGCTTTTGTCCTGTGCACAGATCTGGGGACACATACTCCCTGGGAAGAGCCCGGCACAGACCCCCAGCCCGCAGCCCTCCCAGGGCAAGCATAGCAACAAGAGCCACACTGCTGCACCCTGCACCCACTGACAGTTCCCTCCGCTTTGCTCCCTGCTGCAGCCCCGGGACCAGCCGACACCACCTGCCTGCAGCCACTGGGCTGTGCCCCTCCCCCCATCCCTTCCCCTCACATGTAATGAATTTGGGGTGTAAAAAGGGTCGAATTTGCATGTACAGATCCTGCAAAAAGCAAGGGAAACCAGTATATTACATTTCTGGTGGTGCAGGTGTAAGATCCAGGAATGGTGGTGGTTGTTGTGAGGTGTAGTTATTCTGGGAGTGGTGATGTGTTGGCAGGTTTTACATTTCTTGTCCTGGCATGATCTGGATCCATTTGGCGTGGTTTGGGTCATAGGGAGTTTGCTTCTGGTGATGAGGTTAGCGAGGTTTTGTGCTTGTTTAAAGGCTAGGATGGGTGGTTCTGGGAAGATCTCCTTAAGAATTGGGTCGTCTTCTAGTATGGGTTGCAGTTGTTTGAGGATTTTCTATGTAGGTTCCAGGGAAGGATGGTATGTCACAACTAATGGTTAGTTATGACCTACCATTAGTTATGATATACCATACCATTAGTTAGTTATGACATACATTAGGAGACTCTGCTGGAATGGTCTGAAGAAGGGTGTTTGTGCCTGAAAGTTTGCAAAGAACTTTTTTCCAACTACTCCGTTGCTCTAATAAAAGATATCACATCTACTCAAAGAACCTTGCCTGCCTATTTCCTCAGACCAACAACCCTACAAAGTGAAACCTAACCTTTTAAACTGCAATGAGAATAAACATTTTCCAGATATATTATAAGACAGGGGTTAGTTTTATACATGGACATATAACTGGGGTTTTCTGTTCTGTCACAGCTCCGTGTTTTAGATAAGCTGATGTCTGAGAGGCTATCTGCAGAGAAAACAGAATGCCTTCACCGCCTTCAACAGCATGCTGAACTGGAAAAAAATGAGGGCGAGAAACGGCAGGTAGGGGGGAAACATGGTTATAGATAATGAACAGGAATAAGTAACAGGGATGGATTCATTCAAAAGTCTTGTTTCAGGAGCACTGAAAAGTCTGGTTGCATATCTGGTTCACTGAAATTATATATGGGACTCAAAATAATAACAGAAACAGCCTTTTAAGTCTTAACCTTAGCAATCAGTAATGTAAACCTGGGCTAGACTTGTGCAACTGAACTGGAGTGTCAGGGTACTGGATCTCTAACAAAGACTACTTTTCCATAAAAACACAACAACTTCCTTTGCCTTTTCAACCTTCAGTATACCAGCTCCTGTAATATCATTGTTTTACTTGTTTTCTAGAAGAACTAGAGAAGATGCAGAGAAGGTCAACAAGGATGATTAGTGGTATGAAGGGGCTTCCGTATGAGGAGAGACTAAGACTAGGCCTGTTTAGTTTAGAAAAGAGATGCTTGCGGATGGACATGAGAAGGGTTTACAAAATACTAAATGGCAAAGAGAAAGTAAACAGATTTATTATTTTCTGTCTGTCTCAATACAAGAATTAGGGGTCACAAAACAAAACCAATAGGTAGTAAGTTTAAAGCTAACAAAAGGAAGTTCTTTTCTCACAGCATGTCATGAAAGTGTGGAATGCATTGACACAAAATGTTGTGGAAGCTGACAGTTTAGTCAAATTGAGAAGGCATTGAACAAATTATTGGAGGAGAGGTGCATCAGTAGCTATTGAACATGGGTATTGGGGGCACAGCCTCTGAATCAGAACTTCCTAGACCCTAAATGCTGGAGCCTGCAAGTGAGAGAGGAACAGTGCAAAAAACTATGGTCATACCCAGTTCACTCTCCCTTTCAACATCCACTCTCTGCCACTGAGTGAGGGCCTTGTTACACATTACAGTTAGTACGTGTTAATTTTAGTTGGGTGTTAAAATTAGCATGCTCTTTGAGCTGTCCCACATTTAGGGTTAATGCCCCCTGTAATGTGACCTCTGACCTGCCCTGAGAGGGCTGGTGAGCAGAGGTGTGTCTAGGAGTCAAGCTGGCTCTGTGCCTGCTCAACTTACATGCTCTCAGAGGCAAGGTATGTGGCCCAGATTCATAGAATCATAGAAAATGAGGGTTAGAAGGGGCCTCAGGTCATCTAGTCCACCCCCCCTGTTCAAAGCAGGACCATCCCCAATTAGATCATCCCAGCCAGGGCTTTGTCAAACTGGGCCTTAAAAACCTCCAAGAATGGAGACTGTACAACCTCTCTGGGTAGCCTGTTCCTGTGCTTTCATAGATGTCATAGACATTAGGGCTGGAAGGGACCTCAGATGATCATCGAGTCCAGCCCCCTGCCCCAGGGGCAGGAAGTTGGCTGGGGTCACAGGATCCCAGCAAAATAAATATCCAATTCGTTAGATATTAGGAAAAAGTCTTACTTTATAACCTACTGAGTGAGAAGTTTTTCTTAATATCCAACCTAAACTTCCCTTGCTGCAACTTGAAACCATTGCTCCGTGTTCTGTCATCTGTCACCACTGAGAAGAGTCTAGGTCCATCCTCATTGAAACCACCCTTCAGGTAGTTGAAGGCTGCTATTAAATCCCTGTTCGGTTTTCTCTTTTCCAGACTAAATAAGCCCGGTTCCCTCAGCCTCTCCTCAAAAGTCACATTCCCCAGCCCCCTAACTATTTTCATTACCCTTGGCTGAACTGTCTTCAATTTGTTTACATCCTTTCTGTAGCGGGGGACCCAAAACTGGAGATAGTGCCCCAGATGTGGCCTCACCAGTGTCAAATAGAGGAGAACAGTCATTTCCCTCAATCTCTTGGCAAAGCTTCTACTAATGCAGCCCAGTATGCCATTAGCCTTCTTCACAACAAGGATGCACTATTGGCTCACATTCAGTTTATTGTTCACTGTAACCCCCAGGTCCTTTACTGCACAGCTGCTGCTCAGCCAGTCAGCCCCAAGCGTGTACTGGTGCATGGGATTGTTCCATCCTAAATGCAGGACTTTGCACTTCTCCTTACTGAACCTCATGAAATTTATTTTGGTCCAATCCTCCAATTTGTTGAAGTCTATTTGAATCTTAGCCCTACCCTCCAGCATATCTACTACTCCCCCCCAGCTTGGTGTCATTTGCAAACTTGCTGAGGTACACTGCATCCCATCTTTCAGGTTATTGATGAAGATATTGAACAGAACCAGACCCAGGACTAAGCCCTGGGGCACTCCACATGATACCAGCTGCCAACTAGACATCGAGCTGCTGACTACTACCTTCTAAACCTAATGACGCAGCCAGTTTTCTACCCATCTTACAGTCCATTCATCCAACCCATACTTAGCTTGCTTGCAAGAATGTTGTGGGAGACCATATCAAAAGCCTTGCTAAAGTTAAGGTATATCACATCCACAGAACCAGTCATCTCATCATAGAAGGCAATTAAGTTGGTCAGGCACGACGTGTCCTTGGTGAATCCACGCTAACTGTTCCTAATCACCTTCTTCTCCAAGTGTTTAGAAATGGATTCCTTGAGGCCCTGCTCCATGATTTTTCCACACACTGAGGCTGACCAGTCTGTAGTGCCCTGGATCCTCCTTCCCTTTCTTAAAGATGGGTACTATATTTGCCCTTTTCAAATTGACTGGGACCTCTTTGGCTAGCAGCTTTGCAACCACATCAGCTAACTCCCTCAGCACCCTTGGTCCAGTCCCATGGACTTGTACATGTCCAGCTTTTGTAAATAGTCCGTAACCTGTTCTTTTGCCACAGTTGGCTTCTCATCTTCTCTGCAAACTGTTGCCAGGTGCAGTAGTCTGGGAGCTGACCTTGCCTGTGAAGATTGAAGTGAAAAAGACATTGAGTACGTCAGCCTGTTTTGCATCCTCTGTCACTAGATTGCCTTTGCCATTCAGTAAGGGACCCACACTTTCCCTGATCTTCCTCTTGTTTCTGACCTACTTGTAGAAACCCCTCTTGTTACCTTCCAAGTCCCTTGCTAGCTGCAATTTCGATTATGCTTTGACCTTCCTGATTTCACTCCTGCATGCCTGAGCAATACTCATACACCTCCGTAGTTTTTTGTTCAAATTTCCACTTCTTATAAGTTTCCTTTTTTGTGTTTTAGCTCACTGAAGAGTTCCCTGCTAAGCCACGCTGGTCTTCTGCCATGCTTGCTAGTCTTCCTGCACATCGGGATGTTTGTTCCTGTGCCCTCAGTAAGGTTTCTTTAAAGTACAGCCAGCTCTCCTGGACTCCTTTCCCCCTCAGTCTGGCCTCCCAGGGGATCAAGCCCATCAGTTCCCTGAGTGAGTTGAAGTTTACTTTTTGGAAGTCCAGGGTCATTACTCTGCTGTTCTCTAAGTCCCACTGGGCCTGCCAGCCCCAGCCTGCCTGCAGTCTGCGTCCTTGCTGCCCCCACTGCTCAGATCGAGCCCATCACCCCACCTCTGCTAGCCCAGATTGCCACTGTCTCCCCACCAAGCCTGGGAACCCCTCCCTGCCACTCAGGACTCCCCCCCGCCCGCTGCCCTTGTGGCTCACCCCCACAGCCCATGTCCCCCTGGCTTGCCTACAATTGATGCTGTCCCCAGGGAGCAAGCAGGAAAAGGGAACTGGGCCATGGCTGCTCTTCTGGCTGAGCCCAGCCCAGAGAAATTCAGCAGAAGTTTGTGGGTTCCTCTTCCCTGCTTGTTGCCCCAGGACAGCGCTGGAAGCCACAGGGCAGAGGGGGAGCCCCAGGGGCTGGGAAGTGCCTGGAATGGGAATGGAGGGGGGAATTTACCTTTAGATTCCACCCCCATCCCTCACTGTCATGGTGGGGGACAATAGAGCAGGTGGGAGCGGTGCCTCCAGGGATGCTCCCAACTGGTTTTGCCCTTGTGGAGTAGTCACACATCACTGCAACAGGAGATGCCAAAAACCAGTTAGAGATAATCCTCAATGGAAGAGGATAATCTCTAAGCCACCCAGAGGGCCCTTAGCATGTGTTTCCCTGTCCTAATGTGTGGACATTTCTGTTTTATGCACGCTTAACATGTATTTTAAGTTAATGTATAACAATACCCTGACACAGGATACTGGGCAAGATGGACCTATGGTCTGCCTCAGTAAATGGCAGTTCTAATGTTCTTACGTTCTTGTCACCAATGAGTTTTCAAGATACTGGAGGCTTGAAAACTGAATGTAAAAAAAAAACAAAAAGAAGCTTTTCCAGTATTTCAGACCTTCTTTCTACACCTTTTAAAACAACAGCAACAGAATGTCACAAGCTCAGGCTTTTCCTCCTTGTAATCTGTGTGGTTTCTCCCCTGAGAAGATCCCTTTTCTGCTCTTCTTCCATTCTTTCTATGGTATTTCTGTGCCCTTTTCTTAAATAAAGGTTGTTCATGGAGTGAAACAGGTCTTCTACCGCAGCATTATGGCAATAGCACATTTTCCTTAATTTAAGCAATGTTTCAAATTTGAGCCCTTTTATGCTCAATGGGGAAATAATTATGCTGGTTTCTTTCACAGAAAGTAAGTGAACAAGAATATCTATTCCAGTATACCCAGCTACACCCACCTAGTCTCCTGCCCTTCTAGCTTCTATGCAGACTGAAAATTTGATGGAGAGGAGAGGTTAGGGAAAATCTTCTTGGCCTCTCATGCAGTTAGTGCTTTTTAAAAGGGAGTAAATTATCTTGGCACCTTTTAGTAAAGCCACCGGTAAGCTAGAGCTGTGGTATGATCTATTAGGACAATCAGGTCCAGGTGTACAGTACTTGTAGGAACAGATCTAATCTCCCTGTCTGACCTATCTGTCATTCCCAAAATAATTTTTCCAGAGAAAGTACTTATGAAGATGAGTAAAAAGTAGAGCAGCCTCAAGGTTGATAAGAAGAGACATAGGTATTAAATTGCCTTCTCAGATTACAATTTGGGGGGGGCTAGCCCATGAGTACTGAGAGAACCTGTGCTTATACATGTACAAGTAATCAATCTCCTAATACTGAAAGGGAAA